ACTCAATAGTTCGAACTTCAAAGCTATCCATTCTATGGAGCTGTTCTAATCAAATAGTTCAAAAACATTCAGGAATTTCCGATACTATTTCTTCGAAGGCATCACAAACGTGGTTTTCTGGATTAAACCTTTACTTTACTGACGGCTATTAACGATATTTATTTTTACAAGTATCATTATTTTTATAATTTGGGATCAATTCCCACAGCTATAAGTCCCTCTGGATATGACAGCAAAAAGACATGAGAGAGTTGGTTTTTAGATTAATACGAATTTAAGAAGTCTGTAAGATTCATTTTGATTGTTTTCAATATAGAGGGAGTGTAGGGATGGCTTAACAAAATTGCAAAAGTGTTTTGCTCTTTCCAATCGACCGTAATATCAACCCGGTATAATGAAATTCTTGATTAAACTGAAAGAGATTAAATTGTTTGACTACGAGTCGGGAAAGGGGGCGCATAGAAATGCTTGTTGTACCGCAGAAATTATATTCATTTAGGAAATAATCAATTTCCGGCTATGAAACTAACGACCCAGTAATTTTACGAGTCCACCTAAAGTTCATTTTTTACAACTAGTACATTTAACGATCCATCCAATGATGGCCTGCTTTCAGTATTTCTCAATGAGCCACGGGCTCCAATACAACTCAGATCACGACTTACCATTAGAGGCACGAATCAACTATATCTGTTCTTCTTTTTCTTCTTTCTTCTTACAAAATTTTTTGATAATGACTGGAACTTCCTTCTTCTTATACTCACGAATCTCTGGCCTTCCTTTCGACGATCTTTGGTGATAATGTTTTGTGACAAGTAGAACTTACCACTACTTTAGACGAGTACTTCAGCGAAGTGGAACGAATCAAAGACTCTTGCGGATGACGTTGATCTTTCTGCTTTTGCTCATATCCTCATGCTGTTCGCTTCCTACTATAATCAATACATCAATCGCCTGCGATAAAGTAAGTAAAAATCGTTGTGATAGTAATTGATAGCTCCATTTAATTTTTCGAAACGGATAAGGGAAGAAGCAATCATCGCCGCGTACAGATACGTTGCGCTAGTTGATGGTATGCGGTATGAGCCATGCCTTTGACTCTCATGTTTTATCAAATGAAGAAATGCAAATTCTGAGCAGTACGGGGACAGTCAGTTGGCCAATTTTAAAGCCATCAAAGGCCTGAGAAAGGCTCGTTGTTTTATGAAAACCTGTCTCTACCACCGTCACCACACCCTTCCTCCTTCGGTGCTAATAAAGGTAGAATGGGTTCACAGCAGGAATCAAACTGGATCCTGACGCAACGAAGCGAATTCTGTATGCACCATTTCTCATTGAATATTCGCTCTCCTTCGTTGAGCGTCTTATATAACATCAAGCCTCTCTCTTTTACACTCAGCTTCTGCTCCACTGAGCAAAATGAAATCACAAAGACTATGCTATACAACAATTTTAGGAGCTTGCGCTCAACAGAAATTCGCTAGGCGATAGTTTTGGGACAACAAATTTAATGAATGAGTAGTGAGGAACTGCTGGATAAAAATCAGACCTGCGGAAAACTGATGATTTTTACAATGGTTTCGCAAGTGTATTGAGTAAAGTTCAGCCTGGCACAAGATTTTGGGCATTACCCCACTTATAGCAGTGCTTTAGTATATTTTCCTTTCACCGTCGTTGCGCCTGAGAACATCCAATCTTTTGCCCCAAACTCCAACCGATTCACCACTTCTTAGCTACAGTACAGCTTTTTAGAAAAGTAGTGTAGTGGATCTCTTCTTAGCTACAGTACAGCTTCTTAGAGAAGTAGTGTAGTGGACCTCAGTGTGCGAGATTTACTTTCTGGCAAGAGAGGGCGGCTGAACTCGGTTCTTCATCTTCATCAAATCTTTGTAACGACCCACCCGAAAATGACGAGAAGAGACGCCGAAGGACATATGGGACCCTGCCCAGAGCTGTCAAGACGGGAAAAGGGGAAAGCATGGACCCTACTGAAACAGTAAGGTTCCAAAGTTTTGCTACTCTAGCAAATTTTCAATGAGGCCTATGCTTTCGACTTTTGTATGAACTCTTCAAAATATTGAACTTGTTTATATCCCTTCATCTCCCACATCAACAGAAGCGCTACCGAGATGAGTACCTTGAAGCACTTTGAAAAATACAATTACTTTCCCAACAGGTACGGTAAGAAATTAATTGCCTGACTAGGCGAGGAAGACAAGGAGTGAATTTGTTTCACGGATAATGTCAATGCGATCCAGCATCTCTTCCACTGGATGTGGTGCAGTTGGATAGAAATTGTCGCGTCGCGGCGAGAGCGATACGGCACGCGAAGGAATGTAGCAGAATGCGGCAGCAAGTAAAAAAAACAGGAGCAAAACAACTAATATCAGTATCATGCCGAAAATAAAAATTGCATATCGATAGAGCTGTATGAAGAGCGCTAGAACTGTAATAACGGAGCGAATGGCCCGCGAATGCCGCGCGCGGTGGATCAATTACACAAAACCGATCCTACTGCCCCGCTCCCCTTCCAATCACCTACTTACGTCGCCTATCAAAACGTGCTCAGTAGCGAGCAAAAGTTTGTCAGTCTCAGTGTCAGGGACTCAAGCCAGTGCCTGCGGGCTTTTCGAGTTCTGGGCTCAATCCATTACATAGACGATGAACTCATGGCTTTCCTAAATTTTGCCAGCTCTACTTGTTTTCAGACAGACTTTCTACTACGGATCAAATTCAACGAAACTTTCACGGGACTGATCCAAACCGAGAAAGGCGATCCGAATTGTGTCTATGTGAATGCATCGATCCAACGCGGTACCGATTATGAAGTCAAGGTAGTCCCTTCAGGACCTCTTCACTATAAATTTTTAAAAAGAGTTATCTGCATTCCTTCCCTTCATCCCTATTCTTCTCTCAGATTCCTCTCATTGGCTGCGAAACAAGACGAAATGATGAAGGAAATTACGAGAATGAAATCTCAGTCCAAAATACAGAGAGGTTCGATGCGAAGAACGACAAACGTTACCTATTGACATGTATCCCAGCAAATCCCATATTCAGGTGAGGGTTTTTGAAATATATACAGTAATTAACAATAATTTTCCAAATACAAATCAAGGGGTACTATTTATGACAACCTATTGGCTTCTTTCCCGACTTTCGTCTCAGTACTTTGTAGGTTTTTTCAGCAGGTTTTACACAAGCTCAAAAATTAATACCTTCTTGGAATTTAACTTGAATTTTTTCAAATTACGAGTCCTTTTGTTCAGATTCGCAAATTAGGTGATCCCTGTTGAATCTACGCATTCCTGCTTCAGTAGTAGCCTTTCCCTCGCTTCCTTCTTCGAGTAATAGTTCCTATCTTCATCGAACCATCCTATAACTGCTTTGGTATCTTACCCTTTCGTCGTATCCCTCATCTCCATAACTTATCGCGCCTATACCTTACATCAGACAATCAATCTTTCCATTCTACTTTGAAAAGTCGTCCCAACACCGAAGTTCTCCACCATCTTTTTGCCTGCTTTCTCCTGTAGCCTACTTTTTCAAATAAAGGCATTGTCCAGTGGACACGCGTCACTTTCTTCTGTGACACCTGAAACTATGTTGCCACTCAATCACTCAAACTCGTTTCTGCTCTGTTGCTTTTACAGTTCTCTTATTTTTGCCTTTTCAAAATAATGCCTTTCTGGTGTCACTGTCCAATTATGCTTCTTCTCTACAGTAGTCCCTAGACTGAAGCCTTTCTTCTTCCTTCTCCATCTTCGTCAATGCCTTCATTTCTCCGGTTCTTTCGCGAAATATCACTTCTGCTTTTCCTATTCTTTCCAACTTCGCCATGGACCCTTCAGCTATCTTCACAATAGTTGACTTGATGACTTTTTTTTGTAATCTACACCTCGCTCTCGATCACTCTTGCGAACCTAAATGGAGGTTGATTTGGTGATGGTCCTGAAGCAGGATTGGCGAACATCCAGCTATCAATATGCATTTGTCAATCATTTCTTCAGTGGTTCGTTTCCCACTATAGCCCACTTAGATCACAAATAACATGAGGTAATCTTAGGCCACATCTTGCACTCGTTCCATTCCTTCAGGATTCCTCGTTTGCCTTACTTCCACCCATCGTGGCCTTACAACCCATGTTACATAATTGCTTAAGCATATTTGAAACAGACAAAATGTATCACACGACTTATTTGAGCTGTTTGAAGCTCATGCATTTGATCAATCAATACATAAATGAAGAGCATGATCGCCAAAAAGAAAAATTTCAAATTTATTATTTATCTAGGAGTGATAGCCCACAAACAACCGCAAACAACGATCGCTTCGTAAACAGCCGCGACTTTTCCAGAGACTCACATGTGACCGTATCCTTCGGTGGTGTCACAATCGATACACAATCAACTACGGTAATGACGATCGTTAGCTCTCCTAAGGTTGGTCTCCGGAGTGAAGCTACCGTATTGTACCGTAATCCGAATAAGCTCTATGGACCATTACCATTTTTTCAGATCGACTATCAGGTGTCTGTTCGTGACGGTGATGAGCCAACAGCACCACAACTAAAGCGACCGTTAGCGGTGGGAGACCGAGTGGTGAGTAGTGTAGGATACTGTGGACAGAAGAAGGGACCGATTCCTACAGGCATTTGGTCTAACTTTCAAAAAAAGCTTTTGGGAGAGGTTGTTCAGCATTAATTGATCGACGTTTCGGGAGAGGAGGTTGTTCTCCACATGGGACCTATTATCGTATTCAAGGACGACTTATGAATGCCCATGGAAAGAACACTTAGTGGCCGTTGAAAGCCGGTTTTTCGCGTAATACATTACATGCGTACCACGGATGGTGGCTATAATTTCGCTGCATTGAAGGGATATTATGAAGTCATGGCAGATTCTGAAGGCTGCGCCATGTCTGTGGTCCTCGCATTTGTATCGAAGTCCGAGCGCAGTTTTGACAGAGGTTGATTAGTAATAAATGCGCTACGGTTTGGGTGAAAGCTACCGTCCCCAGAGACCACTACAGATAACCAGGAGGCGCCCATGCCTGTGATAGTGCTTAGGAGTGCGTCAGGCAGGATCCAGCCGAAGCTGCTACCAAAAAGGCGGCTTTCAGTTCTCGAACCCACACAGTATCCAGGAACTTTAGCCTCTATGAGGTGACGAATAGAAGATCTAAAAGGAGCTTTCCAATACCTAATACCAGTTGATAACGTTTCCTGACAAACAGTAATATTCGCTTGAGCATGAACTGGCACTACGACATATTCGAATTGTTAGGTGATTCTGAATCGACTTCATATGCACGGCGTAATCCATTGATAGCGTCCTATTACCAGATTCTCCCCATTTATCAGAGAATCAGTCGATTCTGATGCCTTACTCAAAGGTAACTATTGACAATTGGCAACTCTGTGCGCCCATGTCTTGTACAACCAGTTCTTTTCCACTGATGGTTCTTCGGTCAACTTTAAGAGTGTTTTCTGAACTGGAAGAAGTTAGGAACGAAGATTCTCAAAGCTTCACCTCTTCTACTTGGCTTTTTCAAACTATAAACTGCCTTTCTTCTGACCCCTCGGAAAGATGGAATAGGTTGTTCCATTACAGCTCTGCTTGAATGAAAGGCTAAAAGCTAAGGCGGGCTAATTGAACTACTTCAACATCTCATCGAACTAGACAAGTTTTACTATTTGCACAGAGTGATCCAGTTTCTTCCCGGTAATTATGATGTGCCTCACATCAAAACTGCCTGCCAAACAAGACACGCTCTTTAGCCACTTCAGTAACAAGCTCTTTTCCAAGAACAACAAACAATCCCCAATTTGACCAATTCAGACGGGACATTGGTCGAAATTACAAAGAACTAGGATATCAATTAATGGATTGTTCTTATTAAGACAGATCCGTCCGTAGTGAGCCACACATAAGGTTTTCCTCATGTATGGCTCACTCAGGGGAGAAATGGGTCAAAGATATAAGGAGGTAAGGTTATCAGTCAAAGGATTGTTTCTATGTGACACAGATCTGTCCGTAGTGAGCCATGCATAGGAGTTCCCTTGGGATGGTCTACATAATTGAATGGATGCCCGACCTTTGCAGCGGCTATCGGTAGTTGAGCGAAAATCACATCCTTTTCCTGTGAGACTTCAAAAGGGTTCAGCAAATTCTGCATCAACCATTTTGTTCTGTAGAGTTCCAATGTCGGCCCTAGCCGGTTCCATAGTCCGCTGACTGATTTTAACTTAGATTTTAATTTACTCTAATTGTAAATACATTAGAGAAGGGGTGGAGAGAAGTTAGAATAATAATATTTCTCAATGAGAAAGCTTAAGAAAAAAAGCCGGTTAGAGCTCAGCTTCACTCAAGAGAGAAGCCTTCCAAGAGAAGCCACGCAAACTGCTTCCAACTACGTTATAAAGGTGCCCGCTTCGATTACACTCTATCATATACAGGGTTCAAGTAACATTGTGGTCGCTTCTCTACCTAAGCAATCCATTCCAGGCAGCAAGATTCCAGGCATAATTCGCACCCATAAGTACTATGCAACGGTTTAAGCTACTGTTCTCTCTGTCTCTACCTCTACCATTCGATATGGCTATAACTAATGATCCGCAAAACTGCCGTGGAATTCATTAGCAAGTGTGAACCCTCCATTAGAGCGGCGTAAATCAAAATGAAAGGGGATCGACAAAAAGATCGGAATATTTCTTCCAGGTTTAGAAGCTGAACTCATGTCGGCTCAAAAGGTCAGACTCTCCAGGAGCACATCTGAACAAAAATACCTTCTTTCAGACATATACAGTACATCTGGGACCATCGAATAATGGTCGCATTGGACGGTGCTGGGCAAGTGATGGAAAAAGCGAGCTTGAACTAAGCGACAATGACGGTTGTTCCGTACAACGTGCAGGAGAGGTCAGTACCTGACTGAATTTCTGAATTCTGCAGAGATTAGCAGCATGTCAAAAGATGGAAATGATTAGAGCAGCGATATGTCTGAGTTTACAGCGAGAGGAACTCAAGAGTTATCTACCGCATAAGATTTGAATAAGCTCTCGACATTACAGCTAATAAATTTACTAATATTCCTAAATATCATGGTACAAAACATTTATTTACAGAAATTATTTGACCTGAACCCTTTCTAATTATGTGAGTCGATCAGGTCTTGAAGCGCGCGGTCGCGTCGCGTCATTTGTGATCTCCCGCCGCATCGCAAAATACGGTACAATTTTCTAATCACTACAGCTCATATAACTTAATTTGAAAGGGAAACCAAACGCAAATTTTTTGCGAGTAAAGCCGCGGCCAACAGTTGATTATGGAAGGGAAGTTAATACTTCTCCGGATAAGCAGCATATTCCTTGAAAACTCCAATTTTCGAGCGAAAAGAAATATAATTTTTTTTTTGTTTTTCCTTCTAGTTTTTTC